TACAAAATCCTTCAACTTTGTTCCTGGATTAATAGTAATTCAAGGGAAATGTGCGAGCATATATTCCATTTTACAACATATAAAAATATTGCCCTTCAGGCTATTGAATAAACAGAAAAGTATACCTTTCGTCTCGGTATTGATTTTTAAGGCTAATTTGACAGCTGCATCAAATTTGATTTAAGATGCAAGCAAGTTCCATACATCTGAAAATTCAAACCGCTCAATTGAAAATCTAACTATAAAGATATATTTCTCTTTTGTGTGTCAAATTATGCTTAAAAGATGCAACACATAGCAAATATTCCACACAAGTTCCAGCTGTGAATCTTGAAAGGATTGTGGAAAGTAAACAAAACATTGATCAAAAGGTGCATCCCTGGTTTTGTACAATATACAGTTACGCAAGTGTAGATACATAAAACAGAATGAAAGAGGAGCTACCTGATGATAGTCAATGTAACATGTACTCTCATCCAATCTATATGGCATTGTCTCAAAGAATATGGACACAGAAGATATCTTCTTTATAATGCAAAGAAGAATTTAAAATTTGAATTTCAAACACAGTAGCACCAGTTGAATAGCCTTAAAGTAATGTTGCCTCCTGATACGTTAGTTCTTTAGAAAATAAATGCAGAAAACATACACTTAGAATTAACAAGAGAAGACAAAAATGTAACCAAATTCACCAGAAAAGCTCTTAGTTAATGGAAATGATAAGCGCCTGATAACCATGTGAAAGATGTCCACCATGGGGTAAATCTAGTGCCATAATTCATTCATGAGGTTTCAACAATGCAGTATAAACTTGAAAGTTAGCAGGAGATAAAAAAAAGTGACTGAACATTGACTACAATAATGAAACAGATACAGGATAAGCTATATGCTGCCTAGAAAGTAAATATCTTCCATTGCCAAGCTTTCTCGAGTTCGCTTATGTTAGCAATTTCAGGATCAATTTCCTCGAGTGGAGCATTCAACTGATGTACCCACTATAAAGGCAACCACAATCACAACAAAAAGATTTAAAATCTAAACTCCAAAATCCAAACCTTGTTTGAATAACAATAATTTTTTTAAAAAATGAGGCTTACGTTAGCACGAGCTTTCTCTTTCTCTGCGGCAGCTGTTGACTGAAGCAAATGAAAACAAAGAAGAGATGGAAATTAAATAAAACATTAAAGAAGCAATGAAAGAAGATAAGAAAAAAAGTTAGAGACACAGGAACCATGTAGCGGAGGGAGGTGCGACTGAAGAGGGGCCTGATCGGAGACTTGAAGCAAAAAGTTAGTTGTGAGTTGATATCCCACATCGATGGTTCTTGGGAAATAAGAGGTAAAGTGAGTGTATAAAATAGGATAGGTTTTCAGCAAATCAACATTAACCCGTCGAGCTTGAATCGAGCTACAAATCAAGCTTGAATTGAGTTTGAGTTTTGAGCTTCAAGCGAGTTTTTGAATTTTTGTTTGAGTTCGAGTTTGAGTCGAGTTTGAATATTATCTTTTGAGTTCGAGTTGAGCTTTAAAATTTTAGGTTCCCGAGTTTTCGAGTCGAGTCGAGTTTACATTTAAAGTTTTTGAGTTCGAGTCGAGCTCGATAATACTCTAGCTCAACTCGGCTCGTTTACACCCCTAAGAAAGACACTAGTGCATTGGCATGGAAGGAGAGGAACTTTTACCTTGGACACCAAGACATAAACAACGACTTTGAGAGAGACATCTGAAACAAGGAAGAAACATAGATTTTTACATAGAGAGTGAAGCGTCAAACATTACCAATGATGTGGGTCAACGGTCGATAATCCTCCCCCCTCCTCTCCGCATTTTTATCCAAAAATTATTAAAATATTGTAATATTACTTGTCAGTTATTATTTCCTTAAATTTTATCGATTTAATACCTTTAACTAGAGAACCGAAGGCGTGTCCCTTAGAGTGCATTTTCCAGGTGAAATATTGACATGATATCAAAATTATCTTATCACATCAGATTTTAAAAAATAAAAAAATAAAATTATAGGGACCAACAATATAATTTAATACATTTTAGTTCCATAAGTTGAAGAGTGTAATCATATTAATTTATATAAACATATTAGAGTGTTTAAATTATGCTTATTGACAATGTATGATAAAAACTAAAATGAGCATTCCTTAATTGTTTTTATATTATCTCTATATCTAATGAATTCACTTATACACCAATGTTAAATTTCATTATATTAATATTTATTATTAAGGTTTATTGATTAAGATTAGATATTCTTATATGTTAATATATTTAAATACTTATTTTTTAATTAGGAGTTCAAAAAATTTATGTAACACAAATTAAAAATATTTCATTGACATATAAATGTATTATTTATATAATATAATTAATTAGATCTATAATTTAAGTTGAATCTAATATAAAAATATAAAAAATATTGTTTGGTGCTATGAACATGTAAGATGTGAGGTTTATAAAGAAAATTGTCCTCACGAATAATTAAAAAAATCATAGAACAAAATTTATGTATATAAATGATGACACCATTAGTTGTTACTGTTAAAATGATAATATAGATTAGTTTAAAAAATAATAATATAAATATTTTTATAAGTTATATAATCATACAATTGTGATCACATAACAATCTAATTAATCATATTTAATAAATAATACATTTATATGTCAATAAAATATTTTTAATTTGTGTTATTTAAAATTTTTGAACTCATAATTAAAAAAATAAATATTTTAAATATATTAACATATAAAATATATCTAATCTTAATCAATATAAATCTTAATAATAAATATTAATTTAATGTAATTTAACAATAATATATAAGTGAAATTCATTAGATATAGAGATAAAAAATTAAAAAATATATATTAATCCCAAACCTGCGCGCAATTTACAATTTGCATACTGCCCACCGCATGCTACGAAGGTGGATGGGTGATGGTAGTGCCAGCGGGTGGCCGGCGGTTTGCTGTGGTGTGTTGATATAGGGATTAGATTTAAGATTTTCAAAATTTGAGGTTTTTTTAAGACTTTCGAAAATTATGAGTTTTTTCTAAAAGTATATAATTTCAAATTTTTTTAATTTTAAATGAAATTTTAAAATTACCTAAACACAACATATGTCATTTAATATAATAATTTAACAGAATTATAATAAAATTTAACTTAATTGCCAATAAAAGACAAAAGCTGTCAGTTTTTAAGATAAGTTGACAAGTCAGCCACCAAACCAGTATTAAATTCAAGGGAAAACTCAGTATTTATTCACTTAATTATTGTCTTAATTCCATTTTTATCATTTAACTACTTTATTTTTTAAAATCATACATGATATTATATTTTGATTCTCTTTTGATATGATATATATATTTTTTTTATTTTTTAACAATAATATGATATTATTTAGGATAATGTAGAAATTTTACTATTAATTTTCAATGATTAATAATAATTAAATGATGAAAATGGAAACGAAACAAAGCCTATTATTTTAAGACTGCTACTTCCACTACCAAAATTAATCTTCCACTCCCCAATGATAGGACTCAATTGGAGAAGCACGCTAGTGCATTGGCGTGGAAGGAGAGGAACTTTTACCTTGGATAGCAAGACATAAACAGCGACTTTGAGAGAGACATGTGAAACAAGGAAGAAACAGAGATTTTTACAGAGAGAGTCAAGGGTCAAACATTAACAATGACGTGGGTCAACGGTCGATAATCCTCCCCCTCCTCTCATTTTTACCCAAAAATCATTAAAATATTATAATATTACTTATCAAACATTATTTTTTTTTAAATTTTACTAATTTAACATTTTTAACATGAGGATCGAAGATGTGTCCTTGGAGTGTAATTTTCAGGAAAAATATTGACATGACATTAATATTATCTTGTCACATCATATTAAAAAAATTAAAAAAATAAAAATATAAAGACTAACAATATAATTTAATATATTCATTCCATAAATTGAAAAGTCTAATCGTATTAAAATGAGTATTTTTTATCTTTTTTTTATATTATTTATATATCTAATGAATTCACTTATACATTAATGTTAAATTTCATTAGATTAATATTTATTATTAAGGTTTATTAATTAATATTATATATTTTTATATGTTAATATATTTAAATATTTATTTTTTAATTATGAGTTCAAAAAATTTAATTTATGTAACACAAATTAAAAATATTTCATTGACATTTAAATGTATTATTTATTGAATATAATTAATTAGGTCTATAATTTAAGTTGAATCTAATATAAAAATATAAAAAAAAATATTACTTGGTGCCATGAACATGTAAGATGTGAGATTTATACAGAAATTTATTCTCACGAATAATTAAAAAAATGATAGAACAAAATTTATGTATATAAATGATGACACAATTAGTTGTTACAGTTAAAATAATAATATAAATTAATTTAAAAAATGATAATATAAATATTTTTATAAGTTATATAATCATACAATTGTGATCACATAATAATCTAATTAATCATATTTAATAAATAATACATTTATATGTCAGTAAAATATTTTTAATTTGTGTTACTTAAATTTTTTTAAACTCATAATTAAAAAAATAAATATTTAAATATATTAACATATAAAAAATAACTAATCTTAATCAATATAAATCTTAATAATAAATATTAATATAATGTAATTTAACAATAGTGTATAAATGAAATTCATTAGGTATAAAGATAAAAAATTTAAAAAATATATATTTTAGTTTTTATTCTACATTACCAAGAAACATAAATAAATACTTTAATATGCTTATATAAATTAATACTATTAAACTTTTCAACTCATAAAATTATTTTTTAAAAAATTAAAATATTTTTTTAAAAATAATTTTTTAAAAAATATTTGAGTGATTTTCTTAATTTTTTACTCTCTGAATCCTCTGGTTTTCTCACTAAAAGCTTTCTTTATCTCTCTATTTCTTTTTCTGTCTTTGAATTTTAATTGAAGGGTTCCTATAAAAAAGTTGTGTTTTTATTTATTTATCTGGGTTTGTTCTGCAGATGTTTGATAAATAAAAATAAGCTTCTATTTTTGTTGTTCTTTCGGGGGTTCTGGGTGTTCTTTCTCAAGTTTGCTGATGGCAGTAAGTAATTATCTTAATTTTTTTTTTTTGTTTCAGTATACATGATTTTCTGTTTGTTTCTGAAGAAAATTTTAGAAAAAAAAAATTAAAACTGAAAAGTATGTAAATTCATTTTGCTTTTTGATTGTGCTAAACCTAAGCTAAGCAAGACTGTACCTTTTTCCCCTTGTTTGTTATTTAATTAAGTTTTATATGATCTATTGAGATTATTCTGTATTGCTAACACTTTTCTTTTAGGTAATTGATTTAGAGATATGAACTTGCGATACTGAGATTCTGGTCTTTTATTTATAGGCTCATAAGTGGTTGATGAACTTGCATATATCATTTGGCTTTGAATGTTCTGATCTGGGAATTTGTTGTGTTCTTTTCCCAACTATGCATCAATTTGCCATGTAAAATTTTGTGGTTTTTTTAGTTTGATAATGGAAACAGAACTTAAAGCATCCAATAATATGTGTAAGGATTTCATGTTCTTTCTAATTTTGATTGTTGGATTTTGGTTTTAGCAACGATCTCATGTACCCCAGTTTGGCAATTGGGAAGGTGAAGAGGATGTTCCCTACACAGCTTATTTTGACAAGGCCCGTAAGGGTCGAACCGGTGGAAAGATTGTAAAGGCGAATGATTCCCAACAGAACTCCGACTCGGATCATGATAATGCAGCTCTGACTAGAGCTCCTCCGGCATCAAAAACGAAAGCTGAACTGGATGAACCGGTAGGACATGGACCTGTTAGAAGGGGACATGAGCGTGGAAGGAGCAGGGAAGAAGGTGACCTCGAACAATATGTAGACTCTCCCGCACGTCACTACAATGCCAACCGCAAAGCTTCCGGGGACACTACACCTTCACGTAATGGTTGTGAAGGCCCAAAACAAGCTACGAGACCAAGGGTTGGATCCAAAAACAGCATAGATAAATCACCACTCCACCATGCAAGGGCTGCGGGGATAGGTAACATGGCATCACCTGCATGGGAAGGAAAGAATTCATGCGATAGTAGCCATGGCACTACCACGAGGTCCAGAATGAGGCCAAGTACTAGAGGCGATGTCAGTGTAAATTCTCTTTTTCAAGTCATTTCATTTTGTCATAAATAGCATAAACTTGAAAATAAATGGATTTCTCTTCATTTGAACCTCGTTATTGTCTTAGAACTTGTTGCTAACAATCTGATACGCCAGCCCGATGAAGGTGCTGCTGTTCCGAAATTCGGTGATTGGGACGAGAATAACCCGGCATCAGCCGATGGTTATACTCATATTTTCAACAAGGTGCGAGAAGAGAGGAACAACGGGGGTAGGGTACCAGACATGCCGGGTCAGCAATCTCCATACCGCACTGCTCGGAACCGGAAACCAGCTAACAGCAACGCTAAGGTATGTTGTTCGGGAATCTGTCCAATGACTGTGGTTGCTACGAATCTTATATGAGTTCCTAATTATATCCATTTCTTGCATCTCTTTTTCCTCCAGGGTTGCTGCCTTCTAGGCCTGTAAATGAACTGAACGTTCAGCGAACCGTTCATGAACCGTGCGGCGGGAAGTTCGTTATGTGCGTTTATTTATTAAATAAACGAACATGAACAAGATTTTGTGTTCGTTTAATTAAATGAACGAACATGAGCATAGGTCTCGTTCGTTCATTTACGTTCGTGAACGTTCGGTTATGTTCGTTCGGTTATGTTCGTTTATGTTCGTTCGATTATGTTCGTTTATGTTCTTTCATTTATGTTTAACCCAATCTTCTTAAATCAATTTTGGTGATCAATTTGTAAGTATTTTAAAAATATTAATTAATCTGATATTCTGATGACCAACTCTATAATTAACCCAATTTATTTGGAAACGATCGCTGAAAGCTTCAAAACAATTTATATTATAATGCAATATGAAGTTTTACAGGTTTGTTTTCATCTCTTTCTCTGTTTTATTTGGCTTAATAGTTGATATGTAAAGTTATTGCGGGTATCATTACATCTAAAACTCAAGAAAACATCATATTTCTTTATAGAAATAGATGGGAAGATAAAGGTAACAATCGGAAGTATATGAGTATCAGTAAAGAGAAAAATATATAGAATTTGCCAGAAAACAAAACAAAAGTTTCTATGCAATTTTTGAAAAAGAGTGTAATAGCGGAAATAATGGGTTTGACAGGAAGAACCCATTAATAAGTAGAAAAAACACTTTGACAATGAACTTTTGTTTTCATAGTCTTGTGTGACCTTTAGTTGTGGAGCACACTTTAGGTACGTTAAAATTTTGAATGGTGGTTTAGCAATAATATCAGTTACGATATGTAGCATCGAAGGGATTTCGGATCTATGTTATTGTCTTGTAATCCAATTTGTACCGTTCGAAATCTTCATGCTGTTAAATTTTTTACTCTGCCAACGAAAATGACCATTATTAACAAACCTCACTAAATTCTGACATTAATGTCATAAAACTTTTAGCCGGCAAATTTATTAGAATAACGTAGTGTAAAATGATTGTTCATATGTAATCATTGACCACTAAGATAAATGTTATAGCGTTAAATTAAAATCGTGTGAATCATTTAATATTTTTAAAAGATTGATCGAAATATTTGATATCTTCAAACATTTCATCACTGCTAATCAGTTCTTACACTATTTATCACTGTAGATTTGGTTGATTTGCATTGTCAACTATTTTTCATGAAAGAATAATGGAAGGTAGGGTCTCCAACGTTGATGTTCGTTTATGTTCGTGTTCATTTATGTTCATGTTCGTTTATGTTCGTGTTCGTTTATGTTCGTTTATTTATTAAATGAACGAACATGAACAAGTTATATTTCTTAATAAACGAACATGAACAAAAAAAATTTTGTTCGTTTATGTTCGTGTTCGTTTATGTTTGTCTATTTATTAAATGAACGAACATGAACATACCTCCGTTCGTGTGCGTTCGGTTCGTTTACATGCCTACTGCCTTCCATGGTGCAGGAAATAAGACTGCTAACCCATGGATTCATTCTGTGTGTGGAATATTGTAAATACCAATGAGGGGCCTCCTTCAAAGCAGAGTAATTTCTGTCAAACTACGGTTTATCATCACCACTTGTGTGCTAGTCTTCTTTGATGATAAACATTGTACTCTGTTTGGTGAACATTTTTTCCGTGCTTATGTTGTCAGTATACGACTTTCTTTTCCTTCGTTACGTTAACCTCATCACACACTTACCCGAGGTTCGAAGAATGTAGATTAGGGTAAACCATTCTCCAACGATTCATTTCATATATGAAACCCAGTGATATAGAAAAATGTGATTATATAAAATGTTTGAAGACAATGTTTATGATCCAAAGCAGCAAACGCATGGAAGGATCATCATCTGCTTCTGCAACAGGTTGTAGTAGGGAAATAGCATATTGCAACTTTGTGATCCGTCCCCTTTATTGAATGAATTTGGAAGGCTCGGCCTTGTCTAGTAGATTTCTTTCTCCATTCCGCACGACCTTGGTTTATTTCCTGCCCATTACCATACAATCTCAAGAGGCTGGTCTTCTCTTGTAGTAGCAGTTGAGAACCCATTTGTTCCATGAAGCACTGAAACGGTTTCAGTAGCCTCCGCTAGTTCCGGACTAGTAAGCGAATCAACCACATCATCTTGTTGGTATTCCAATGTGATGGGATCTCTTTAGCCCTCCAGGTAAGGGAAAACACGTACCGTGGTTGTCGTGGAAAGAAGGCGAGATATTCTTCCTTGACATCACCACTTTCTGCAGCCGCCTAATGTCTTGGTTCATCATAACCCACTTGCTGAAATCGTAGAAGATGAATTAGCTTTCAGCATGAAACAACAGATGTTAAGAAAACTATAAGCACACGTTCGTTCCGATCAGCACGGCCAAGAGCAACAAGTTTTACAGGGCGAGATAAAAGAAAACCACCAGGCAAAGAAGTTGTCACTTTGATGTAAATGCTCACAGTTCCAGTACCCCAGCCCTTTCCATGTTATGGATCTTCTAAAATGCAGACAAAAGACCCAAGTGGGGGAAGGAAAAAGGTTGAAGATGCACCTTGTAGCTCTTCGATTTTTGGATTAAAATTCGGACATATATTTATAAAACTATTAGAAGTGTCGTGAAAATAAAAATATAATATTATTAAAGTTGTATTTATAATTTAACGAGGGATAGAGTTATAAGTACATACAATAACTATTCTTAAATCAGCTATATAAAGGGGTTATGGTCCCAAAGAAATAGATAATATTGTATTTACTCTGATCTCGCCATAGAATTTATACAAACTATCTTCTTGGAGTATCACAACCAAAGGAAGATTCAAGAATTTCAACCTATTAATTAATTCATGTACGCTTCCGCATCTAGTACATTTATTCTTGATGATTTGATCCTGGTTGCTTTTCATATTTATTATGATTTTGGTTCTAACATCGATAACTTCACCGGCAGCCACGTCCCTTCTGGTTCGAATTCTTCCCTCGTTTTGGCACCATTTTTCTATTTCCTACACCACAAATATACATGAAATCTAAAAACTCCTAAACTCCTTAATCCCAAAGTTTCTTACTGTTTATGGTGTTTGTTGTTTGCTTAATATTGACAGAGCCGTCTCGGACATTTTTGGGTCCTAAGCAAAAACTCAAAAATATGCCTTTATAAAGTGAAAGTATATTTCATTACTTTGAACAATTAATTTAATATTGCATAAATAACTCATAGAAAAATGATTAAATTTTATGAAAACACATTAATTTTATTATTTTATTAAGAAAATACCTTAAATACCACTAAGAGAGAATAAATATAAAAAATTTAAATGTTTGTATGATACATAGCTTGATTTTGAATAATAAATAAATAAAAAGAATTGTATATTATTTTATTGTTAGATTGAGATTGAAGAGGACTAAAAATTAAAGAATATTTGATAAATTGAAGAGTAAGATTTGGTAAAATAAAGAAAAATATGATTAAATTTAATTCAAAATTGAATGAGTTAATAAGAGAATGAAAAAGAGGGTAAAAAACTAAATATTTTATGAAATTATAAAATTAGGGACCCTAATTATAAATATAAAAAATTGGGGGTCCTAATGATAAATATAAAAAATTAGGGGCCTGAGCAGTTGCTCATAGTTAGGGCTAAGAAAAACTTGACTTGACTAGAAATGAATTCGAATTGTAATTTCATAAACTCGACTCGATTCGAAAAAATTTCAAGTTCAAATCGAGTTGTAAAATACAACTCGAATAACTCAAAATTTTTAGTAATTAGTGGTCGAAGAGTCGAGTCTCTTAATTCTGTATGATATATGTATATCACATATGAAAGAAATATACATGTATTGTTTGTTTTATTATCAAAAATCACACATGAATGGATTGTTATATATATATGTATTGTATATGACCATAATAAACCATTTAAATTGAAATCAAATAATATCATAATATTATAAATATTGATAATTAAATTTAATCATAAACTCAAAAATTTGACTCAACACGAATTTTATAAACTCGACATGAAAAAATTTCAAGTCAACTCCGAGTTGTAAAATAGGACTCGTCAACACGAATAACTCAAAATTTTTTGACTCGACTTGATCGAACACTGACCCTTACTCATGGTGCTCCCCTTAGAGTCGACCCTTAATACTGATATAGCTAGTCAATTCGTTTCATAACCACAACTGTTGCAGTTTTTTTGTAACAAAAAGGTTTATTACTGCTATTGGTTGTCACAAACATCTTCAAACTTTTGGTGTCAGCCATTTTGTTGAAAACATTTTAATGTTTCGATATAACAAATTAAGTATAAATGAATTTTAAGATTTTACAAATGATTTTCTAAGTATATTCGATTTAATTTCTTGAATATCAAAATATTACTCCAAGTCTTTCAAAGATCAAATTTAATCCTTACTAAAGTGTAAAATTGTGTTTTAATCTTAAAATATTTTTGAAACAATTTTCACAAAGTATTTCGAACAAAAAACGAGCCTAAAATCAATTTTTCAAAAGAGTGTACCGATGCACCAATCCATGCATCGATGAACCATTGAATAAATTGAACATCAAATGCATTTTATGCATCGATGCACTCAGGTTTTATGAAAACATCGAATGCATTTTATGCATCGATGCACAGACCATGCATCGATGCACTCAGGCTTGTTTGAAACAGCGAATGCACTTCATGCATCGATGCACTCTTGACGCCAGACAGAATAGTGATTATCCTGTAGGCTAGCTCCGACAGACGATTCACAAGAGAAAATTCGCCCAAAAACCAGAGAAAAAAAGTCTCTAGGGTTTAATAAAATATTATAAAATCAATAACTGTCAAAAGCAGTCCACAAGCCGGACTGTTATAGCTAAAAAAATCGTCTTTATTCGAATTTTGCCAAAAATAGCAAAAATCGTATTTATTCGAA